GGCTTCTGTACAGCTTTTTTGTCATCCAATCAGATCTATGAAGGTTTATCCTTATGTGTAGCTTTTCAGTTTCTCCCACGTACTGAAGGCCACAGATCTTACATGTGATGAGATAAATCACATTCTCTGTTTTGCACGTTTTGTGTGAACCATGTATGTTTAGTTTTTCTTTAGTCACTGTGCTAGTGAATGTCTTGGTCTCTATCATATGTTGACAGGTTTTGCATCTTTTATCGCCACAGGGTCCAGATTGACTAGGTTGGTTTTGACTAGCGATTGTTGTTAGCTTGGCCCTGACTAGGATGTCCTTTAGGTTTTTTTAATCTGCGTTACATATGTACACAAAGTAAAAATAGATGTCGCTTTGGCTTGTAGACTTTTAGGGAATTATACAACGTTTTCAGTTTCCGCAACTAGTCTATACAAGCTGGTTGTATTTATAGTTTTAGCTCATGTGAAGATAGAAATGTAGAGGTTTACAAACGCAACGTTTTTGTGTTTATTTGTTTGTCGTAACTATGTTTTGTATTTGCCTTTGAAAAAGACTCATTAAGAGTTGAAAGCGCTTAGGCTAGTTAGTTACTAGTTTCGTACTGTTCGTCGTCAGTTTATTGCATCTATATATATATATATATATATATATATATATATATATATATATATATATAAATATATATATATACATATATATATATATAAAAATATATAGATATATATATATATATATATATATATATATACATACATACATACATACATACATACATATACATACATACATACATACATACATACATACATACATACATACATACATACATACATACATACATACATACATACATACATACATACATACATACATACATACATACATACATACATATACATACATACATACATACATACATACATACATACATACATACATACATACATACATACATACATACATACATACATACATACATACATACATACATACATACATACATACATACATACATACATACATACATACATACATACATACATGCATGCATGCATACATACATACATTGTGTATTTCAAATATACCCAAACCTAAATTATTACACAATTATATGTTGTAAAAAAATTTTTTTCAAGAACTTTACACTGAAACCAAAAAATATTCTAGTGTTTGCAAACATAAACTAAAACTTTAAAACATGATATTTAATTTCAAACGGATATTATATGAATCACAATCACACCACCAACTATACATCGCTTTCTGCACTTCCCCAACTGACCATCGCAACAAAATAGGTGTGACGTAGATTTAATTTCCTGTAAATGGACTGTTTAGTACCGTGTAGCAATCCGAATGCATTTTCAATCCTTTATTAGGTTTTCACAGAATTTATTTAGTTACTACAAATTCTCTTTGAAACTTAAAACAGAAATACGATGTTTCACAAGAATTAGCGATAAGCACATAAAAAGCATAACAAGCTTTTAAATTATCGATAACAAATCGTAACAGACTATGAAACTAGGCAGAATTTAAATTTTTGGCAAGTCTTATATGATTCTTTTTGTAATTGAATTCGAGATAGAGGTACCCAGACAGACAAATAAATACAGACAGAGAGCGAGGGAGATGGAGAGAGAAAGAAAGAAAGAGAGAGAGAGAGAGAGAGAGAGAGAGAGAGAGAGAGAGAGAGAGAGAGAGAGAGAGAGAGAGAGAAACGCAACAAAAGTGAGAATGAGCAATATTTTAATAATTCATTGATTTAAAGAGTTAACCAACACTACCATATCTTTCCTCATAAAAGTCACATTAAACCCTGTAGATCTGACATCAGATATCCTGAATCATTATTGGAATTTACTGTTGATCGGTACCCCGATTCTTATCAAAACGTATGCTTGTAGGTCATTGTAATTAGATAGGCACTCAAAAAATGAAATCAGAAGCAATAAACGAAGCAATCAAGGTATCAAAGATGCGTATGAACTTTAAATCACTCCCCCTAAAATGGATAGTGGGTTAAGCATTTTAAAACTTAGATAATTTAACAAGTAATATTTGAGCAGTGTAAATCCCTCTTTCAACGTATTATGTTCCTTAAACTCTTAGACATGAATCAGTCAGTGCTTGAGTGGACAAGAAAAACCGAACTGAGAGACAGACAGATCGACAGAGAGAGAGAGAGAGAGAGAGAGAGAGAGAGAGAGAGAGAGAGAGAGAGAGAGAGAGAGAGAGAGAGAGAGCGAGAAATTATGGATAAGTCTCCGCTAATAGCATGTAAAAGGAGTCAAGCAGTGGAAGAAAATCATTGATGATTTATATATATATATATATATATATATATATATATATATATATATATATATATATATATATATATATATATATATATATATATATATATATATATATATATATATGTGTGTGTGTGTGTGTGCGTGTGTGTGTGTGTGTGTGTGTTTGTGTGTGGGTGTGTTGTGTCTGTGTGTGTGATCTTTAGGCCTT